CCTCCGCCTCCTCCTCCTCCTCCTCCTCCCCCTCCTCTCCCTCCTCCTCCTCGTCCTCGTTCTGGTGCTCACTTGCTTCCGTCAGTCCGTACTGGCGCTCGTTGCTTGCCTTTCAGGGCCAGTGGCGCGCAGGGCGCGACGAGGGGTGCTCTTGCGCCTGCTTGGCGGGATGACGTCGGCAGACGTTGGCTGGGCCTTTGATTCCCGAGGACTGCTTTTCCAGACGGGTTTCGACTGCCACTTCCCCCCGTGGAGGGTGGGACTCTCGAACATGCAAAGTGTGAATCCCCTGGCGAGAACGGGCGTGACCCGGGGAGGGGGGGAGGAGGAGGGGAGCCGCCCTTCTCCGAATGATTGCCCCCCCCCTCCTGAACCCACCTTGCCGTATTCCCCAATCAGTGCTTGCGCTGATCAGGGGACCTAGCAGATCTTGAAGGATTTGGCGAAAGTGAGCGGCCGATTTCGGTAGGCCGCTGGGTTCCCGGGTTCCAGGTTCCGGGTTCCCAGGTTCCCGGTTCCGGGTTTTTGGTTCCCAGGTTCCCAGATCCGCGTTCCTGATCGCGGCCGGGGTTCCCATTTTCCCGGTTCTGGGTTCCCGGTTCCAGGTTTTTGGTTCCTGGTTCCAGGTTCTCGGTGGGTTGCGAGGGTTTTCCGGGTTCCTGGTTCCGGGTTCTTGGCGCCCACTTTTCAAACCATCCGCTGATTGGGTTTTTTCTTTGGTGTCATCCTTCCCCGCGTTGCATGGTGAGCGGGGGCAACCAACAACAGAAACTACACCAGAGAAAAGCCCGAATCAGTGGATGGTCTTCGCTGGGGAGATCGACCGGGAACCCGGGAGCCCGGGAACCCAGAACCCACCGCAATCGGGGCCTGGAACCAATGACCGCGAATTTGGGGAAACCCGGAACCAGGAACCCGGGAACCCAGCCTGCTACCAAATTCGGCGGGATTTTTCGCCAAACCTTGGAAGACACATCTAAAAATCTATTTTGGTTGCTCATTTCCCCAGCGGCAGCTACATTCGGAAGGACCGCATGGTATCAAAAATTCCTCCCTGAATCATATGTGTTTTACATCGTTTTCGTACAGAAAAATAGATACGAATAGATATGGTTCGAAAATAAATGCGTTTTCATACGATTTCCTTTTTTTTTAGATGCGGAAGGTCGATTTTCCAACTTCCGCTAGGACCTCTTCAGTGCAAGCGCTGACCAACAAAACAGACATCTCTGGGAGGGCGCTGCTCTCCGCAGAGCCGCGGCGCCGCTGCACGCCGCCCAGGGCCACGGCGGCCCCCGCGCAGCGTCCTGGTGGCGGGGCCGGCGGGGCGTGCCGGCGGGGGCGTTGGCGCAAGGTTGAAGTCGGGCCTGTGTCCCTCTACAGGAGGAGTACTTATTCAAAAATAATGAAAAATAGTGGGTCGATTATTGTTTTACTAATTCTTATTTCTCGTCGCAAATCCCGCTGTAGGGGGACACGCCCGATTTAACGCAAGGTGCGGTCAGGGACCTGCGCCTGGCGTGTCTCGGGTAGCATATACACTGGCATTACGCCAGAGAGTAAGCCCAATCAGTGCATGGGTTTCGCTGAGGAGATCAACCGGGAGCCCGGGAGCCCAGGACCCACCGAAATCGGCCCGGAACCAATGGCTGGGAACTTGCATGGGAACCCGGAATCGAGAACCCAGGAACCCAGCCTGCTACCACGATCGGCGGGAAAAGGTTCGCAAAATCTTTCAGCTTCTGCGAGGACTTCTTCAGTGCAAGCGCTGATTGGGGAACAAGCGAGCTTTCGGAGATGCGCGCCGATTTCTTGCAGTTGGCGCTGGGCTCCCCTGGCGGCGCCTCCTTGGCCGCCCCGGGCGCGCTCGGGGCGCAGCGCCGATCCGAGAGATCGGCGCGGAGTTCCGCAAGTCCAGGCCTGATGTTTATGCCATTGGTTGGTCCCCAGGTGTCGCTCCGCCGGTTCTGGCCCACCACGCTGCGGCGCGACACGCTCACCACATCCTCGGGGGCGAAGGCAAAGGCATCGGCGGTGCGGCGCGATCCGTATTGAGAATTACGGTATCCTCCCCGACTTCCTGACGTTGCCGGAGCATCGGCGTTGCGTCGCCGATGAGCTGTGATCCCCCGCTCTCACCGAGCGCGTTCCACTACTCGCAAGGTGCCGACTCGCAAGCGTCCGAGCAAAAAACACAGGCCTGCATCGATGAAATGGATCGTAAATCCCCCGCGGCGGATCCATGCCATTTGCGAGCAGCTACCTTGCGAGCAGTGGAACGCCCTTTATCTACGATCGCATTTGCTCGCGCCTCGTGGATCGAGGGTCGAGGACGTCATTGGCCACCCCATGTTGGGCCCCTTGGAGGCTTCCCGTCGTCACAGCTGCGTTCCCCTCGGCATGTCGGCCAGGGCGCGCTCCAGTGGGAGGTCCTCGGTTCGAAGTGGGAGGATCGGTGATACAAGTTGTAAGTCGGGCCTGTCCCTCTACAGCAGGAATATTCAAAATTAGTTAAAAAATAGTCAGGGGACGATTTGTTGAGCATTTGTTTGCCATGTTGGTGCATTTTTTGATTGTTTTTTTCGTCCACCATCCCCTTGTACGAGGGCAGGCCCGACTTGACACGAGCTGCTTGACAGTCTCCCCTTTTTTGTTCGGACCTCCGAGTTCCCGCAGAGGGTGGATGGATAAACGGGAAACGCAGGAAGGACTCCCTTGAAGAACAGCTTCCCCCCTTCGTCAGGAGGGCGACGCCAAGCGTCGAGGATGGACGGAGGTCGTCGATCCTCAGATCGTTGGCCCGTTTCGTGCCGTGGGCCGTGGGTTTATTATTCAGGATCACTTCGGCTCGAGAAGCTCTTTGCCGTGACCGACGTCTTTTGACGCTGTCGCGACGTCCGATTCTTACTCCAGGGGCCGTCGCGGGATCAGAGTCCGCTGCCCCTCCCCTGCTGGGGAGGCCATCTCCCCATCTCCACCCCCCTCTCTCCACCCCTCCCCCCCGTTCCCCTTCGTGTTCGATTCACGGTCGGGACACTTTGGCTTAGCGTGTCGGGCCGGACGAAAGGGGGGGATTGGGAAAGGGGGGGTTACGAAATTTGCTGCATGCAGCTGGTTTCGGCCTCACCGAGGGGCTCATTCCTCGATACATAGCCGCCTCCGGCGCCGGGAGGCGCCGGGAAAATCAGCTACGCTTGCTGATTCTCAAACCCCCCCTTTGCTATCCTCCCCTTTCGCCAGACCCGATCCTCTCCACCCCTCTCCCCCGTCCCCCTTCGTGTTCGACTCACGGTCGGGACACTCTGGCTTTAGCGCGTCGCGGCTCCAGTCCTGGCCAAAACGGTGCTTCGGCGCGACACGCTGTCCACGCCCCGTCCCAGAGAGAGCCTCTCCCCGCCACCCGCCCTGCAGAGCGGAGCGACACGGTGTCCGCTCGGAGGGCACGGCGTGTCGCCGGGGCGGCCGCCGCGACACGCTGGCCACGAGTTCCTGACCGTGGGCGTGCGCCGCGAGGCTTCTCTCGTCGCGACCCTCCCTGGCAAGTGCCTTCCAGCATCACCGCATCCCAGTCTAGCGCCCTATTCCTCCTCTCTTCCCCTCCCTGGCATAGTATATGGATGTTTTAGGCCAGAGGCTCAACCACGTCATCAGCCCTCTTTACGTATTGTGAATGCCAGGGCAAACGGCTGCGCGTTTCTCAAGCAAGCGAGATCACTGACGGGGCAATCAGACAACATGGCGTCAAGGATGTGCGTGCCGAATTTTCTTTCTTCTCCTCCTCCTCCTCCTCCTCCCCCGAGCCGAGCTTCGACTGCGCGATTCGTCTGGCCACGGCCGTCCAGATCAGGTTGACCCCGGTGGTAGGTGCAATCGCGTCCGCTAGCCACGTTAGCTCGGGTTTGCTGCTTTCTTCTTGAAGGGAGCCGCAGGAGTAGGCGAATAAAGGTAGGAAAAGAGGAGAGGACGTGGAAGGGAAGGGTAAGGAGGGTGAGAGGAGGAGTGGAGACAGGAACAAGGGCAGGAGCATGTTCGGGAAGAGAGGAGGTTTTGATCTGGGGAGTTGGTGCCAAGAGCAGCTGAGAGGAGGGGTATCCTCTCAGAGGCCTGCACTTGGTAGTCCCTGCCACCTGCTTGTGTGTCTGCTGAGCCCTCCGAGGTCAAGACCCCGATTGCCCGCGGGCGTGGACGGTAACTATAGCCGCGCTCCCGGCGAACGGGGCATCTCTGAGGCGGCGGCAGCGCGGCAGGCCGAGCCCGTGGGCCTGCACAATCGCCCGCCGCCCTGCCGTCTGCTGCCGTTTTCCCCGCGGGGAGAGACACGGTGGCCATGGCCAAACGAAAAGGGGGGGATTGGGAAAGGGGGGGGGGTACGGAATTTGCTGCATGCAGCTGGTCTCGGCCTCGCCGAGGGGCCCCTTCCTCGAGGCACAGCTCCCTCCGGCGCCGGGAGAGTCGGCTGCGTGAGCTGATATTCTCAAACCCCCCCCTGTGCTATCACCCCCTTTTTCGCCCGACCCGAGATGACCACGGCCAAGGTGTCGCGGAAATTTTGTCGACGCCGGTCTTGGTCATGGCCCGCGCCAGCCGTCGCCGATATCGCCGGGAGGGTCCACGGATCCACGGATGACCAGGCGGACGATGGCCAAGATTGGCACCGGCATTTCCGCGTTCAGTCTTGCTCCCAGTGTTTGTGTCGGGGGAGCGTAAGACCCGGGTTTGCCAGGACTCGGGTTCGCCATCGTTTTTTGACGACCGCGACTCGGATTTTGACGAGGAGGAGTTTTGTGGGATGTCTGCAGCGGGAGGCCTCGTCAAAATGCAGGCTCGGCCTCGTCATTTTTTTGACGACCTCGTCGGGGATTTCCGAGTCCCCCGTACCCAGGTCTTACGTCTCCCCGATTGCTGATCACACAATCCGCGATCACGTATCGCAGTGATCCGGGGATCACGTGATCGCGGCTCACGTGGTCTCTTCGGCTTGAGCGCCGGAGTGCGTGGTTGATATCCGTGATCGGCGAGGTAGCCAGCGTGATCGGTCTCTGCGATCAGAGCACACGATCGGGTGGTGTGATCGGCCGAGTGATCAACCAGACACTGAGGCCTCGGTCCTGGCCACCGTTTTCCTTCCCTCCGGTCGCCGTGGGGGGAGAGGCCACGGACGCCATCGAGGAGCGCTCCGAGAGGCTGGCCGAGGAGAAGCAGCAGCGGCCGCGCCAGCAGGCCTCGCCTGCGCGCTCGCGAGGAGCCGCCCGCTCTCGACGCCTGATGGCGGGCTGCGGGCGCGCTTGCCCGCTCTTGGGCAGCTCCCCCGGAGTGGGAGAAGAACGCGCGCGGGAGTGTGCGTGTCTGCGTGTCTGCGTGTCTGCGTGTCTGCGTGTCTGCGTGTGCACGCGTGCACGCGTGCACGCGTGCGCGCGCGCATGCGCGTGCGCGTGCGCGTGCGCGTGCGCGTGCGCGTGCGCGTGCGCGTGCGCGTGCGCGTGCGCGTGCGCGTGCGCGTGCGCGTGCGCGTGCGCGTGCGCGTGCGCGTGCGCGTGCGCGTGCGCGTGCGAGTGCGCGTGCGCGTGCGCGTGCGCGTGCGCGTGCGCGTGCGCGTGCGCGTGCGCGTGCCGTGCGCGTGCGCGTGTGCGTGCGCGTGCGTGCGTGCGTGCGTGCGTGCGTGTTTGTGTGTGTGTGTGTGTTTGTGTGTGTGTGTGTGTGCGTGCGCGCGTGCGCGCGTTGCGCGCGTGCGCGCGCGCGTCGGTGTGCGTGTGTGCGTGTGTGGTGTGCGTGTGTGTGCGTGTGTGTGTGTGCGTGTGTGTGTGTGTGTGTGAATGTGTGTGTGCGTGTGCGTGCGTGCGTGCGTGCGTGCGTGCGCGTGCGTGCGTGCGTGCGTGCGTGTGCGTGTATGCCCTCCGGCGTCTGAGCGTCCCTTATTCCTCTCGGCCGTCCCCTTTCCCTCTTTGTTCGCCAGCCATTTCGCTAGTTAGTGCCCCTATCGAGCTTCTCGCTGATGCGGATTTCGCCGCCTCGCCGCTGACGGAAAAGTGTGTATGCCCTCCGTCTCCCTCCCGCCACCGCCAGGCCTCCGCCTCCCCCCCTCGTGCACCGCGGCGTGATCCGTGTTCGTTCGTCTTACCTGCGCCCTATCCGCCAGCGCAGTCCCTCTGCCTAGCCGCCGACGTAAAAGTGTGTGTGTGTGTGTGTGTTTGTGTGTGTGTGTGCGAGAGTGTGTGTGTGTGTGTGTGTTTGAGAGTGTGTGTGTGGGTGCGTGAGTGTATGCGTGTGTGTCCAGTGCCTCCAGTGGGCGCACGGCTTCCCCTGAAATCTTTTCAGCACGCACCCAGCGCACGGTCCCCAGCCGGCCACGCGGCTGCGCCTCGGCCCCTATATGGGGCTTGGCCCCCGCTCTCTGGGCGGCCCCGTCGGTCACGAGCCTGGACCCTTGGCTGCCTCGATACGGCCGTTGCGGAACGCAGCGCGCGTCATGCTTATAATTAACGTCCGTGCCACTACTTTGCGCGTTGGCTCAGCGTCTTGGCCCGCGTCCTGGCGAACGCATCGCGTCACACCGACGCTCCCAGCTCTGCGTGCTGCGCTCGGTGAGCTCCGCATCGGTACGCTGCGCGCTGCGTGTTGCGCACCTGGGCAGCCAAGGCCTGGGACCTCTCTCCCCCTCTCGCTCGCTCGGGCTCGGCTCCCGCCCTTGCGCCAGCCGCTCTCCCCCATGGCCTGCGGGCCAATCCACCCCCCGGTGAGCTCGGGTCTCCACGCGCCTGCCCCCTCGCCCGACTCCGCCGCGCCCCGCTCTGCATCTCCTCGGGGGGCCCCTCTCTTGTCCTGTAGCCGCCGTCTTCTCTTGCACTCCGACGCGGCCTCGACGCGGATTCGACAAGGACCCGGCACGGATTCGACACGGATTCGACTCGCTCGACACGGATTTCACACGGACTCGACGTGGATCGCGGCGCGGACGGGACAGACAAGGTCCCCCGAAGATGCAACGCAACGCTCCGCCTCCGGACCCGCACCCCCCCTACTCCTTCGGCATCGCTCGGACGTGAGCGCTTCTTCCTCGGCGAGGACGAGGAACATCTTGGATCAGCGTGCGATGAGATGCACCCACGAAGCCAGAAAATGCACGGGGAATGGACGTCCGAGCGATGGCGAGCTCCTCCCCCCCTTCACCAAAGAAGTTCCACAGTGGGCTCGACCCACCATCTGGCGCCACCCGGCGCCAATCGTCTACTCCTCTCGCCACTGCTCCCCTGGCGAGTCGGACCAGCGGATCCCTACCCTGGGAAGCCTCGACGTCCCTGGTGGACCACCTCGCGCCACCCCCCAGCGGCCACGGCGATTCGGCTTACGGTAGGTTCGCGTCGTGTCGACCGGCGGCGACCCCGCCGCCGACGTTCAACGTTGAACGCCGACGGCGGCCCAGAATCGGTCGATGTTGAACGATCGGACGTTGCGGAGACGGCCGATCGTTCAAGGTTGAACGATCCAGCGCGGTGTCAGGAACCAACGCCGGGGTCGGCACGACACGAACCTGCCGTACCTCCCTGCTGCAGCTCCCAAGTGTCCTGGAGGCGAAGGCCACGCCCCCGGCCCTCTCTAGCGGGCGCCTCGATACGTCGCCCTCTGGCTGCCCCCCTCTCGCTGACGCCTGGCCTGTTTTTTCCGGTGCTGCACGCCCGCCTTCTCCGGGATACGCAAGCAATTCCGGCGTGGGCCCCCGAAGCGCGAACCTGTACTCCAGATTTCGTAATACAGGGAGGGGGGTCTCATTTCGGGGGGGGTCTCTTCCAAGCTATCTTGGAGGGCCTGGGGGGGTCTGGGGACGATGTTTTGGAGGGTTCTCCCACGGGGGGGGGTCTGAAATGGCTTGTCTTGGAGGGTCCAGACCCCCTCCCTTTTATTACGAAATCTGGAGTAGTCACCCCCGGCTGCCCCCAGCCCCGAGGTGAAGTCGGGCACGTGCCTCCACGGGAGGAAAGTTAAGATAGTCAAAAGATGGTCCGGTGACGATCTTTGGACAACTTTCGCGTATGCTATTGCATGTTGTTGCTCATTTTTCATTTTTCCTCCAAAATCCCCCTGGAGGGGGACAGGCCCGACCTGACCCTGATGACTCGGGAGGCTTGGGCGCCCGAGGTCTCCAGGGGTTCACTGCGGTCCGGGCTATGCCTCCGGTGCGGGCCCGCGAGGCGCGCAGCTGCCGCCATATCCCTGACCGCCTCCGGCCCTGCTGATTCGGGGCTCCTCAGCGGGCGAAGAACGGTACAACATACTCCAGATTTCGTAATAAAAGGGAGGGGGTCTGGACCCTCCAAGACAAGCCATTTCAGACCCCCCCCCGTGGGAGAACCCTCCAAAACATCGTCCCCAGACCCCCCCAGGCCCTCCAAGATAGCTTGGAAGAGACCCCCCCCGAAATGAGACCCCCCTCCCTTTATTACGAAATCTGGAGTAAACTTTGCCGCCGTCGGCGGCGCCTGCCCTTGAGGTCGGGTGTTGCTAGAAGTGCCCCTGGGCCAGGGTGCTTCCAGGAGTCTCGGGGTGGCCCAGGCGGCCTCCAGAGCACGCCTCACGAGGCCCAGAGGACTCCAGGGGCTTCAGAGTGGAGCGGAAAGCTGGGGGCAACTTGGGCCAGGGGTGCTTCTAGCAACACCCGATGTGGGGGGAAGGAGACGCGACACCAACACCACCAGGGAGCCACCTCCAGCGAGGAGGTCCACGATGCTTCCACCGAGCCAGGGATGGGGGACGCCCCGAGCGAGAGGGGGGGCCGCACCACCAGCGGGGCCCCGCCCTGGCTCCTCCCGCGGGTGGCCCCTGGTGGTGGTGGTGAGGTGTTCCGTGCTCCTCTGGGCGGCTGGACAGTTCGTACCCCCACGGTGCCACCGTGAAGGGTACAACCTTTCCAGCCGCCCCGGGGCAGGCGCCCCCGACAGCCAGCAGAGTGCATTCTATATACCGTCCTTCGCCCATGGAGCTCTGACGGTCCAGGCCCCCGACGCCATGATAGGTTTGCATGATGTGGACCCCCAGCGGTCTCGACTCGCTGCCCGGGACCAGTTTTTCGTGACCAGAAAAGAAGCGAAGCTCCAGGATTTTCGCGCGTCGGGCCCTGGGAGACACTCTCCCGACACTGTTTCGACACTCTTTCGACACTTTCCCGGGTGCTCGGAATTATTTCTGGGACGTGGTCCTTAAGTACGATGGGAGCAACATACAGTCGGCCCGGATTAGTAGGTCGACCCTGCCCGCTCAAGGGTACCCTTGTAATTATCCTGTGTCTCGCGACGCGACCCACGCTTCCTACATTCCTGCGGCAATGTGGCCCCCGGGAGGGTCTCGTGTCCTCTCGCGTGTCCTGTCCAATCGAGTCTGCCTGTGATAGGGGGCCACATGCGAACCCGACCCCTACCCCCCACGATTTCTGAGGGAGAAGGTGGGGTTCCCGACCCCTCAGAAATCGTGGGGGGCAGGGGTAGGGTTCGCATGTGGCCCCCTACCCAGACCCCCGACGTCATGATTTTTTCATTACGTCGACCCCCAGAGGTCCCGACCCTTTCCCCATGACCGGCTTTGCATCCTGAGTCGTTTTTTGACGCTCCCGAGGCCCGGTAGGGGCCCCCAGAGGCCGAAAATAGCGAAAAACTTCCCGTCGTGAATTTTTCACGACGCGAGGGGGTCTGGGTATGTAAGTCTGGGGGTGCCCCCCCCCCCTCCCACGCCTCCCGCGGTGCCGGTGTCTTTCTCCCCCGGCACGGTCGGCTCCCCCGGCGTGCTCCGCGGGGGGGGGGGGGGCGCCCCGGGCCCGGGCGCGGGCCCAGGGTCCAGGGCTTCTCGCCGCCCCCCCCCTCGACGACGACGACGACGACGACGACGACGACGACGACGACGACGACGACGACGACGACGACGACGACGACGACGTCGACGACGTCGACGTCGACGTCGACGACGACGACGACGACGACGGCGACGACGACGACGACGACCACGACGACGACGACGAGTCCCCCCGAGGGCCGAGTGCGGTCATGCTCTTGCCTCCCCTGCCCCGCCCCGCCTCCCCTCGACGCCTTCGCTTCAGCCTGGTCTGGTGGACCAGCGTGCGCCTCGGGGGCTCAAGAGACGGGGGTTCAATGCCAACGGGGGTCAGCCACTTGGCATCGCTCGGACGTGTGCATCTTTTCTCGGCGAGAACCATCGAGGACCATCCTGGACCATCGAGCAAACAAAAACACGCACGAAACCAAAACAAATCACGGGAAATGGACGTCCGAGCGCCGGCCAGGCCAGAGCGCCAGAGCCTGTAGGATCCTGCCGAGCCAGGGGCGCAGTGCTCCGGGCAAGGGCACAGGATCCTGCAGGCTTCTGCAGGATCTTGCAGGGTCCTGCAAGGCCTGACTGGCCCGGGTCTGCATTCACCCGGGTCAGAAGGTCCCCGAGTGCCCAGCGTTCTCCACATCTGCGTGGCCGAGCTCCAAGAGATCTAGGCAAGATGCCCCTCCACCCAACCCTCCCACTCCCGAGGCCCTCCTCAACTGCCTTCGCGAGGAGCCCACCATCCTGTGCTCCGACGCCTATGCATCCGGAGCGGTGTTCTCGATGCCCGCCTTTGGCTCACCACCACCGCGGAGCTCCACCATAGCCGCGCCCACGTTCTGGGCGCGTTCGGCCTCTCCGATCGCAGCTCCACCTTGCTCTGCGCGACTGGTGGCTCCGCCGCGCCGTGTACACAGCCCCCAGGACGCCCCTTTGGCTCCCTCCGCGCCCTATCGCTGCCCGGCTCTCCCCCCGTCTGCCAGAGGTCGCCCCCTGCCCCCAGCCCGCCCCTTTTCCATTCGGCGACCTCGGTGCCACGCTGCAACCTCACGTCGTCCGCCCTGCGGACACCCCTGGCACGCTGCACGCCGACGTCTCCCCACGCCCTACAGTCAAAAACCCTAATGAGGACGCGCGGTAAGGACGAAAGACCCTTGGAAACCGAAGTTGGGATTTTTGGGGCGGCGGACGACGAAAACCTCAAGGACGCAAGAGCAAGGAAGGGCAAGGTTGCAAGGGTACCCTGAGCAAAGTCGCGCGTCCTTCTTAGGGTGTTTGACTGTACAGCAGAGGGCGGGGCCTTGCCCCCCCCGTGGCGCAGCTCGCGGCCGCCGCAGGAGCCCGAAGGGAACGCGTCAGCGGCCGTGCCCGACTCTTTCCCGCCCGCATCGGCGACGTCCAAAGGGCCCTTCGTCGCGCTCACAATCCCGGCTCCGCTCGCATCGACGTCCAAAGGGCCCGTCGTCGCGCCCACAAGCTTGGCTCCGTGGATCACTCCGCCCAGGCTGCCCAGCTGGTCTCAGTGCTGGTCAACATGCCCCCTCTGCGCGTCTCGTGCCCGATTTCTCCCCGCTCACGTCGACCGTCCAAAGGGCCTTCCTCGGGAGCGAAAGAAGGACGTACATGTGCCCGAATCCACGCTGGTTTCGAGAGTTCGCTC